TGAAATCCATCCATCAAATGGCAACACAATAAATAGAATGAAGGTTGTACCTCATAGATACAATCACCGATATATGCTAACGATGCTGCATTATATACTGATCGAGGCTTATCGACTTTTGGTGGCCTTGGCAACCATATCTCATATCCCATATAAGATTCATCTCGCTTATTTGCCACTCCTGCATCATGCAATTTCAATAGACAACCTATATGAGTATATTTAACCACCACATACACTAATTCATTACATATATATATAGGGCGAAAAATATCAAACTAATATTCTTTGTAAATTTCTTAAGATAATGTTTACTTCTGATGGATACAGACAATAATGAAATGGTATGCTACTTTTTCAATTTTTCCTTGAGAAAAAGAAGGAACAAAGAGTATCCTCGTATTATCTTAAAACTTCAAGTCAGTCCTGATTTGCCAATTTGATAGAAAATTGAAGAGGAGAAAAAAAAATTGATGTATATTTAGAAATTTTAGAGAAAAGTAAGTACTTTTAAAGTAAAATAGGGGAGGATAGATTAGAGTAAAGTAAAGGTTTAATGGAACCTTGTTTGTTTAGGATTTAATTATAATAAAGAGAACAAAGAAACACTTAAAGTTCCATTCTTATTTAGTTTGACAGGGAAAAGCAAGGTAAGGATTGTATTAATATGACAAAAATACTCTTATTGATTAGAAGATAGTTCTTTTCCTTCTAAAGACGGTAGATTGGACATATAGTGAGGGTATTTTAAGAATTTGAATTAAAAGAGTATATTAATAAAACCCTCCAATCACTCCCGACCTCCAATTTAGGGTTGAATGCAAGAGGTTTAGAGGGGTTTACTCTCACTTACTCTCTTGAAAATACCCAAACAAAATTTACTAAACTTAAGTCAACTTTGAAAACAGAACTCTCAAATGTTGAATTTCCTATTTCTCATCTACCTTACCGTTTGATTAACAAAATTTTTTCTTAATTATTATTCTTATAGTAAATACTTTCATAAATTAAACAAAAAAAAAAAAATTAAATGATTCATATCTTTGGTTTGATTTTTCAACTTTTAGTTATCAAATAATAATAATAATAATTCTTTACTTCAAAAACTCCTCTTTTCTAGTACTCTTATTTCCTCTATTAGCTTCCTAATTATTGTCCAACCAGAGTATAATTTAAATAAAAATTCCTCCTCTCTTTTCTTTTTGTTTTAGCTTTCCCTCACTTTGTCATCAACCACACAAACCTGAAACTGGCTCAACGACATAAATGTGTGTTTTCTCATACAACCTCCCATTGAAAACAAAATGAAACTCGCGTGGATACGAAAAACGAGGGCCCAATGAGAAGAAGCAGATGGAATGGGATTACCTTGGTCGAGGCGGCGCTTGAGAAGGTCGGCACCTGATCGGTCCGTGCAGTTGTTCGTTAAGGTGACAGCGGGTGAAGGAGCGAAATCGTTGGGGCTCCTCTTGGGCTTTGGTGGGGTGTGGGGATTGTAAGGGAGCCTCCGTTGAGTGTCCAACGAAGTTCTCACTCTCAGCCCTGGCGAAATATTCGTGCATAGGACCGGCATTTTCGTTTTTCCGATCTCTTCGACTTCTGCCAGAGTAGTACAATTTTATGGAAATGAGGAAAAGTACTTTTTTAGAAAATAAAAAATAATAATACTTTATGATTTTATAATTTATCCTCATTGTCTCAAACTTTTTATTGTTAATTAATTTTAAAATGAAACGAACAAAAAAAAAAATTAAAAAATAAATAAGTGTTTTAAGTAAGAATTAAAATTATTTTAACATTTGATAATAGTAAAAATAATAAATTACATTAAAAATATATAATATAATTTATATTTTTTTGCCATACACATTCTTTTTATTTTATTTTATTGGGTAATAAGTGTTGTCACCCTTTGTTTTTTTAAGTCCTTTTACTTCATGGGCAATGATTTTCTTTACTTTATTATGAAAATTTATTATAATCAATTAAGAGGTACATCATATTTGTGCCGTGACAACATCTTTTATGCCGTCTCAATAACATTTCAAAAATATTTCTATTTAATTATATTCTTATCTAGTGTGTGTGTGTATATATATATATATATATTGTTTTAAAGTGATTCTGTTTTGGTGACATGTTGAATTTAAGTTAATTTTAATTGAACTCAAAACTTCTACACAGATGAAAGTTTGCACAAAAAGCACATAAAATAATTAATCATACTATATGTTAAATAAAAGAGTATTATATTTTATATTTTTCATGTTCGAATAATATAATTATAATACACAACACAAAATTATAAGTAATTACGAACTAAATAGATTTATATATTAATTAATAAAAATGTCAAAAATAAATTTATAATAGTACAATATTTATAAATTATAGTTACAAATAATAAATTCATATGTCATATATAAAAATTTTTATAAATAATATTTTAATTGACTATTGATTCATGCACAAAGTGTGGTGAAAAAATATTTTTTTAAAAAAATTTATAAATACTAGTAAATAGCACGTAGCATTCGTATTAATATTTTATTTTAATAAATTAATTAATATAACTGTGTAAAATAAATATTAACGGCATATTAAAAATGATTGGTGTGTACATTTTTTAAAAGAATAAAAATTAAATTAAAACAAAACTGAATTAAAGAATAAATTAAATTAAAAAAAAAGTATATGGACCAAAAATAAACGTGACACTTGGCATGCCATGTCGTCAAATGTTTAGTGACATGGCAGAGATGCTATATTGTGTTAATTTTAAACCTTTCTGGTTAAGATTTATTAACAAAAATCCTGAAACAAGAAAAATGTGAAAGGTGAAATTTAGAAAAGGGAAATCAAAGAAGTGTCTTAAGTTTATTTAAGATACACCAAAAGTAATGCACTTTTGTCCATTCGTTGTCTTTAGCTGGAGGCTGTTTATCTGCTGGTTATACATCGGCCGTAGGGTTTAGTAAACCAGAGCAAACTATGCTCTAAGTAATATACTCGACCTTTTCTTCTTCCTCTCGTCTCCTTTCTCTTCCCTCGCGAACACAAGATTTTGAAAAATTGCGAGGAAAATACTCGAAACCTTTCTTCAAAACCCTAATTTCGGCTTAATTATAACCTTTATCTTTTACCCCTAAATTTCCTATAATTAAGTTATCGTAATTTCATCAAAGGGAGTACGCAAGAACGATATGAGTCGCTATGATAGCCGCACCGGCGACCCCACTTCCTACCGTGACCGGCGAAGGTAAATCTCCTAGTATTTATGTTATTGTGGATAAATCATCTACATTATATGTCTGCATATGTATTTTATGTAATGTTGTGTTTGCTTCATTTTTTTTTTTTTAATAATTCGTTTCGGTCAAGTTTGAGTTCACTCTGGGTTTAATTAGGGTTTATTGCATACTAAATATGTTTGGATATTTGTTTTTTCTCAAGGGAACCCGAATTCCTTGCTGGCCCGTTTGACTTAAATGGTTTCTTTCATAGTTTGTGATTTTGTGTTTATTAACTCGAATAATGTCAATAAATTGGTTAGTTTTGTTCGATTCATGTGTTAACAATGTCGTTATATCTCGGAGCTAAAATTATATGTTTATGGGTTCTTTTTGTGCTAGCTTTTTCTTCTTCTTTTTCTCTTTTTGGGTAAACTTTTGTTTGCATAATTCTATTTTCACGCTGATTGAATTTGTTTCAAGCACGTTAAAATGTTAGTTTCTGTGAGTTTAATTTCTTTACTGCCTGGTATCCGGCAAGGCCAAATGGTGACTAGGTAATTGCATGAGGGATGGATATTGCTCTTCCCCTCCCATGTGAATCAGATGCACTTTCTTCAAACATACTTTTGTTTAACCCTTGTGCAAGTTTGCCCTTCTTAGCTACACATAAAATTGATACAGACTTTTTCAACCATACCAATATTTTTTTTCATGAGTTTTGCTTATGTTCAGTGATTCAGGGTTTGGTGGGGCTTCAACATATGGGAGCTCTGGACGGTCTACATCAAGCAGGAGGGATTATGATGGTGCAGAGTCCCCGAAAAAATTGGATTTGGATGGGTTGACTCCTTTTGAAAAAAATTTTTATGTTGAGTCACCTGGAATTGCTGCAATGACAGAGCGGGAGGTGGAGGAGTATCGGCGGCGGAGGGAAATTACCATTGAAGGTCGCGATGTTCCAAAGCCTGTTAAGAGTTTCCGTGACGTGGGTTTTCCAGGTACTTCCATTTTGGTTTTCCAGGCACCATCCTCTGTTGTTTAAGCATTCACATGGGTACTTTTATAGTTTGAGTAAGTTGGGAAAAAAATTATGTTGGAGGCCTTTGTTAGGGTTTATATGAGTTTTTGTGAGTGAGAAACTACAGTTAGAGTGTTCCTGATGGGTATGATCCCAAATGATAAAATCTGTATATGCCATTTAACCTCTTTGAAGAGTAAGTAGATTTTATTTCTTTTTCAACTCATAATTAGTTATCTTAGGATCATATTGGGTGAGTAGATATACTAATTTACCTTATTTTCTTATAATTTACTTTATGGATGGTAGGCAAGGAAAAGAAGGTTTTTTTTTATTTCTTTCTTAAATTCAATTTTTATATACTCATGATGCTAGTAAATGGGAACATTGAGTCACATAGCCTGGAGGGAGAGGTTAAAATTACTGTCAGTTGTTGTCTTTTGTGTCTTCAGTAGTATGAATTCCCAATAACTCATTGTCTAGCACATAAAGACTAGAAGGTTTTTGGAGTGTTCTTGGCCTCCTCAATCTGTCTTGGGCAGTTGCAGGTTCTGTGGCAGAAAGCTATGGATGTGTGAGGGGATCTAGAGTTCTAAATTGAGGAAGAAGGTCTACAACCTAATTTCTATCTCTTCTTTTGAGTCATATGGAAAGAAAGAAACAATATAGTTGATGAAGAATGGGGATTATTAGAATTTCTGAATAGATTGGGAATTGTATTTCTAGCTGATCTACAATTTACCATAACAGAATGGTGAGGTTAGATCTTTAGTAACTTTAGGATTTTATTTATTGTTTAAATTCTTTTAACTATGTTTTGGCTCTTCTTTCACCTGGTTTGATAGAAAGTAATAGTTAATGGAAGAAAGAGGGGGATAGTGAGCGTCTTTTCCTTTCTTAAAATCCCCTTTCCGTTTCTTTACGATTATATTTGGACTGGGGAAAGTGGAGGGATAGGAGGGGAAAGGTGTAGGTGCTCACCATCCCTTTGCTTGCTTGGATTAAAAAATTTCTATTTTGTTCTTGTAACTTGTCATTTTATTAACAAAGGGTATCTGTAAGGAACTGACTGTAACCAGGAAAAATGGCCATGGAAACATTGGATCAGTTGGGAAATAGAAGGAGAAAAATGGAAATGCATACAGGGTAATTACAAACCCTAAAACCGGCCACTGAACCAACTGAACCGGACCGGTCTTTCTCCTTTGCGATGAATCGCCCACCACTGAACCGACATTTCTTCTTCCCTCTTCATTCATGAACAGTCAGATGCTTCCCCTCTGGTCTCTAGCTTTTCCGCAGCGTGTTCCGACTTCTAAGACGATGTTTGAAGAACATTCGTGCATGCTTTTGTGCATATATATCTCTATTTTGTAAGATCTAATCATCGAAGTATATTTGAAGATTCATCTCAATCTCTCTATTTTCAGTCTCTCTAGATTCTCTCTCTCTCTAAACTCTCTGTCATTCTCTCTCTCTCTCTCTCTCTCTCATGGCCACCGTCTCTCTCGGCTGTTCTCCTTCTCTCTCTACAGATGGTTTTTCTCTCTCTAAACCGTGTAAAAATATAGCTTATACAATTGACCCAATGGTCAATGGGTAGGATGAGCTATGAGAGTGTTAGGGTTTTTTATTTTTATTATTTGTCCAGACCAGCTTGGATTGATTTTTTTGGTTCTCCTACCCATGTACTGAAGACTGGATCAAACATAATCCGGTATGGACTAGACCAGATGGTCCAGACCGAATGAACTGGTATTGTTCAGTTTTTCGGTCTAGACCGGGATTTGCACACCCGTAGCCTTAGTTCAAAGAGGAATAGAGAAATGGCACCACAGAAGTAATAGATGATTCATTACTAAGCATCCTTCTTACATAAGTAGCACCTATGGTAGTGAGGTAAGCACTCCTGTTTGAGTGCGGAAGAGTCTTGTAACCATTTACTTCTATGGTGTCCTATGGTGCATGGACTTTGGAACATGATCTATGGACTATTGGACATTAATTGGGTGATCTCGGGGACTGTTTGTGGGGAATTATGGGCTTGGGAAGGGTTAGATGTCAAAAGGAAAGTAGCTAATTTGATTCCTTTGACCATTTTTTGGGTTATTTGGAAAGAGAGGAATGCTTGAGCTTTTGAGGGAAAAACTATAGACTTGTATAAATTAAGAGATAGGTGGATACACTATTTTGGGATTAGTGTGTTAGGTCATGATATTATTTGTGATGAGGATTTTGGGAAGGTCATTGAAACTCTAACCATATTGTAAATTTTGTACATGGGTGGTACCCCCTCTTTGGTACCTTGTTAACATATACCTTACACTTTTTATTTTTTTTTTAAAAGTAGCACCTATTTATCAATTAATACCATTCCTTCATGAAAAATGGGAAAGGGATTCGAGATGGCTCGTGGAAGCTATTTCCATCTCATACCGGGCAAACATGATTCTAAAGAGGTTGAGATGATGAGATGGTCAATCCTAAAGAAACTCCTAGAACTTGGATGAGTCTATAGATAATGGAAAACCCATTAAGTTAGTTGGAAAATCCATTTCTGTTTTGAATGGCATAGGCCGTCTGATTGAAGCTGGATTTGGGCTTTTAAAAGGATATAGAATGGGCTTTTTCATTGAGATATCTTGAAATTGGCCTATATGAATTTGGGTTTTCATAGACTTGACGTAGAATTGATTTTGGTTTTTCCTTTTCACTCTCTTTCTATGTTGACTTAAATGTATATTAAAAATAATCTAGATAACGCCTCTTGTGAATCTGTCTCCAGCTAAAATGTGAGCACCAATTGGCAGCTTAGGCATGAGAGATTGCATATGGTTGACATTTTTGCTGATTTGAGACCCTTATTTCATCACTGAAACCTTTCTTCACCTTTGCCCTGGGCTCCACGGAGATTTGAAAACTTCTCCAGCAACCCCACAAGCTTATTTTTTGAGATAAAAACAACTATATTACGTATAGGTACCAAGGGGCTGCAGCCACTGTAAAATATTTACATGTCTAATAAGACATCTTTGCCTTCAAACTTCTTATCCTCCCTCAATTACTACTACTTTTTTCCGGTATTATTGAATGGGGATCCTTTATTTTCTTTTAAGGCATCTAAGGGATTGCGACAGGGAGATCCACTATCACCACTCTTGTTCATTGTTGTGATGGAAGCACTGAACAGGTTATTGACAAAAGCAAAGGAAATGGAATTGATCAGGGGAGTGGGCAGAAATGACCATTTGGTGGAAGTTACCCATCTTTTCTTTACAGATGACACTTTGGTTTTTTGTCAGCCGGATGAGATGATGATACTCAACCTAAGGTGTGTTATGTTAATTTTCAAGTGGTATCAGGATTGAATATTAATCTGAACAAATCAGAGATGGTAAGATTGGGAGATAAGAGGGATGAAGGGAGATTGGCAAGAGTGTGAGAATGTAGAACAGTGGAATTACGGATTAAATACTTTGGCCTACCATTGGGATCTAAATACAAAGATGAGAGAACATGGGAATCGGTGATTGAGATGTTTGAAAGAAGACTAGCAGAGTGGAAGAGGAATTTCTTGTCTAAAGGAGGAAGGTTAATTTGAAAAAATAAATCGGAAAACTGAATACTAATAAAATAAAATATTAAAGTTACTAAAACATAATAATATACACCTAAGTAGTATAGTAATTTTATTTCATAAAATCATGATTTATAATCTACTTAATCAATTTAAAGCTAATCTATTTTGGATCAATGACTAGTCTCCGAGAAATACTTCATACTTTTGACATGACGTGAGCTGTTTGTTTGTGAGTCCTTCACCTGTTTGCTCAAAGCCTCGTCAGTAATTTAACACTTAAGTAATTAGCAATTCTTGAGGAAGTAAGATCAATCATCAACATCGAAGTATGCACGTTGAGACAATTTATTTCCAAATTGTACTTATGATTCGAGAAACCTCCTTTACAGATGATAAATAATATGATTTCTATGTCAAAGGAAACTCTACAAATATGCTCATCTATCTGTATATCTATATCAATCTATTATAAGCATGATGATCAGAATAAACAAGCGTTTTACATAGTCACTGAGAGTAAAATTTGGGCTTGAAACTATCAAGACATTATTTTCTTAAGCAGTTAATACCCTTTATTTCTTATGACAAATGAATGCTATCTGTCATTTATTCTCTTACAAAATGAAGTTGCTGACGTTGTGTAACAAAAATAAAATTCAAAGGCATCATGTGAGTTGGTCATTTTTTCATCTTGTTGACATTTATTTAAGAATAATGAATTATTAGCAGAAAAAGACGTTTGCTTTTGATGTAATTTGTGAAAAATTAACTTCCTGATGTTGGAGAATTTCTCTCAATTAGATGGTAGATATGTTTTTCTTGAAAGGTCTACTTACTAGAGTTTATACACTTGGTTCCAGATTATGTTCTGCAAGAAATTACGAAGGCTGGTTTTGTTGAACCAACACCTATACAGTCTCAGGGATGGCCAATGGCTTTGAAGGGTCGTGACCTCATTGGTATTGCTGAAACAGGATCGGGGAAGACACTTGCCTACTTGTTGCCTGCAATTGTCCATGTTAACGCGCAGCCAATTTTAGGTAAAAAAGAGTACTTTATATGGTATTAAACCTGTCCCTGTGCTTTTACATTATTTTTGGTTATATGGAAGGGCATAAATTTTTGCATTTTCTTTATACATTCAGCTCCTGGAGATGGTCCAATTGTGTTAGTTTTAGCTCCGACACGTGAACTTGCTGTGCAAATACAACAGGAAGCCACTAAATTTGGTGCATCATCAAGGATTAAAAATACTTGTATATATGGAGGAGTTCCCAAGGGACCTCAAGTGCGTGATCTCCAGAAAGGTGATTGGTGCCAAGTTTGATATGATTTTTGTTCAATTTTAATATGTTTGTATCCTATTTTGTCAAAATTATGTTGTTATTTAAAATGCTTCTGTTATTGATGTTGGTTCTTAACTGTTGCCCATTTGGTCCCTGAATAGGAGTTGAAATTGTTATTGCTACACCTGGGAGGTTAATAGATATGTTGGAGTCACACCACACAAATTTGCGAAGGGTTACTTACCTTGTGCTGGATGAGGCAGATAGGATGCTAGACATGGGTTTTGAGCCTCAGATACGGAAAATTGTCTCTCAGGTTCTTCTAATTCATTTTGTGCAAGCATGTTCCCATAAGCTTTTTACATGTCATAAGAAGAAGGATTGGGTGAAATTTTGGAAGGTGTTATGTTGGAAAGGGTGTATACGAAACAGTTGAAATACAGAAAATATTCCCTTCTTTCTTTCGAATATCTTGTTTCCTTCTGAAATTTCCAATAACCACTGCCAACAAGTACTTATGAAGGGAAAAGAAGTTCCATGAATTGTATCTGTCAAAATGGCAATTAATTGGCACAAACTTCTCTCTTCCTCTGTCATTCTTTATGCATGTATACCTTTTGTTTTGCATATTCCTTTTTTATTCTTGAAAATGCTAGCTGTTTAATGTTTTAATATAATGCAGATTCGCCCAGATCGTCAGACTTTGTACTGGAGTGCTACTTGGCCTAAGGAAGTGGAACAACTTGCAAGGCAGTTTCTTTACAATGCATACAAAGTAAGCTACTTTTTCAATATGGTTTAGATTTTGTATCAAGAATATTTGTGATTGCTGATAAATATATGTTGTTTATCTCTTACTTGCCTTCCATTTCCTTATTTGGAGGTTTTCTACTTTGGTTCTTCGGACTTACCTTGTATGTTGCATATTTTTATAAAACATGGTTGTGGATTTCATTTATTTTTGGATTTCATGCAGGTGATAATAGGATCTGCAGATTTAAAAGCGAACCACGCAATACGCCAACATGTTGACATTGTTTCTGAGAGTCAAAAATATAACAAGTGCTCTTTATCTCTCAATGATTCTTACTCTTCAACAGGAAATGATATAGTGGATGTATTGAACTTTCTTGAAATTCATATTCAGGTTGGTGAAGTTGCTGGAGGACATCATGGATGGCAGTCGGATACTGATATTCATGGATACTAAAAAAGGTTGTGATCAGGTCACGCGCCAGCTTCGCATGGATGGGTGGCCTGCGCTCTCAATTCATGGAGATAAAAGCCAAGCAGAAAGGGATTGGGTCCTCTCAGAATTCAAATCTGGAAAGAGTCCTATAATGACTGCAACAGATGTTGCAGCTCGCGGTTTAGGTACTTACATCAGATGCTTATGCTTGCATTATGCTTGTCTGACTTTGATCTTCATTTCTCGCCTGATTTTCTTGCCCATATTTTGTCACATCACCTATTAATGGCATACTTTTATGATGTTAGTTATATATATATATATATATATATATCTTGTTATATAAATATATATATCTAGTTTTAGTTACTTTTATGATGTCCATAATTCACATTCTTTTTATTTAAAAAAATTTGAATTACCACTAATTTTTTGTGTTTTGTTGCTCATGCCTTCTATCATATTTTATTGGATGAACTGATTCTTATTTATGGACAGACTCTTTCCTTATCCTCATTTCTTGTAGATCTACGAGTAGAAGGTGGACGAGTACTTCCTTATCTTTTTGAGGCAACTTTGCATATGAATTACACTATTAATTTTCTTTATCATCAACAGCTCCTGGCATGTTTGTGTTTGTGTGTATTTTTGTTTCCGGCACAAGTTATTTTGTTCCCCTTTCTTTTTGGGAGTATGAGGATGTGTAATTCTCCATATTTATATTTTTCCATTCGCTTCTCCCTAATAAAACTTCTTTTTTTATAAAAATGAATTTTCTCTATGTTTGCTTGTTTTTTTTCCCTCAGGATATATTGCTCTAGCTGTATTATCTTTTTCGTTTTGATGTTTTGACTAGATCATCAACTTTTTGTTCCACCAATGAGTTACTTATTCTTGTACTAAAAAAGCACATTTTACTTGCTGCATGGGCATTTATAAGTTTCTCACAGTTAATATCAAAAAATTCAATATCTTCGATGTGGTGGTATTCAATAAAATATGGAGGAGTTCTTAACCAATGATCCCTTATGGAAGCAAAAGAGGAAAGATTCTTGAAAGTTCTATTCCATCTCCTTCCAGATAATCCAAAAAATGGACTGTGAGATAAGGTGGATCTGTTTCTTTTTTGGATTTAGAAGCTGCAATATCATTTAATGTCCATAGTTAATCTCTGTTTGAGCCACACATCACCTAGGAGAGATTTAAGGAGAGGAAAGGCCAAATCTCAAAGCTATAGTCAAGGCACAGAAGGAGAAGGTGCCTGGTGACTGCCACCTAGATTCTTTCTCTTTTCATAAGGTTGTCCTAAGTATCCTTCTGCAAGCTGCCTCCCTAGCAAGGAGTGCAATTATGGGTGATGCTTTTGTATCTAATACCTGTTTCCATGCAAACAATCCAAGATATTGTCTTGCTAGTGGTGGTAGTTAAAGACTTGACAGAGAAGTTGCCATCTCAAGGAAGTTTTGATATTGGAACATCATCTTCATTTGGATTATTAGATGGATGGAAATATATTCAAAAATTTCAAAAGTGCAATCCATTCTTCAACCTTCCAAGTCCGAAACATTAAGGTTTTTCACGAAGGGGAAATACCAGTAGATCGCACTCCTAGACACCTCAAATAATACTCAGCCTTTAGCACTTTAAAGCTGTCTGCAGAAAAAATGTTCACAAAAAAATCTTATAAATCCTTTTTGCACACTAGTGATCTTGCTAGGACTGGAGGCTCCTTTCATTGCCAACCTCGAACTTAGAAAGATCCAAAATACCAGTTCAATCTCTATTGATGAGATCCATGAATTAGAAACCATAAACTCCCTTGCTCATTTTTAGTGTGCCAAACAATGTTAGCCATACCATACTTTGTGACAATGAATTTTCTCCACATGGCTTTTCCAAAAGATAAAAGAAGATGCCATTGTTGCTTAGCAAGCAAGTGTTAAGATTCAGAATGTGAGTCATTCTACTACCTTTGGATAATATGCTTCTCATCCAACCATTACTTCTTGATTTTTACTCCATTTGGAAGACTAGATATTTGAGTGGGAAAGAAATAAACTTACCACTGAGCACCTATGTTTCTTTGTTAATTTCAACACTACTACCATTGGTACCACCGCTAACTTACCTGTGGTAACTCTAAGACTAGACTTTGCTTGAAAACATAAAGAGGAGGAAACAAAGTTTAAACCTCAACTATTATATCCGCCATTACTTGCACTTTTATCTGTTAAAGATATACAAGCTCATGTCCCCATTTTTCTCGGCTCCTCGTTTGTCAGGGCCCCATTGGCAGTAAGTTTGATACTAAATGTTCCACGAAGCAATCCTGCTGAGTGCTGATCATGAAGAATGGCTCCTTCTTCTATACCCTATCCTTTCTGCCCCTTGTTCATTTTATCGTAAGTGACAGAGCATTCAAGTCTTATATTCACTACTTTTATCCTTTCCTTTCCTGGCTTTTGGTCTTCTCTGTCCAAAATTGTCCTTAGCCCAGAACCATTTCTCAAGCCTCCTAAATAACTCCAAGACCTGCCTTTTCCATTTTTCTTTTACCATCCAAGAAAGTTTGGCTTTGTCTTGCTGGGCTTGGGCCCCAGTCATTTCCTTTGGGATAAGATTCTGCCTGTATACGAGTTGATTAGTCAAACTTCAATTTGAAATTTGGAGATGGCAACCTTGTGTTTCCTAGATTTGTCTTAATGTTGCCGGAGCTAAGGAGCATCTCAGCCAAAGACCTGCACAGATTGTCTTTTTTTTTTAGGGGGGGGGGGGATCAATCAAGGAGACAGAGATGGCAATCCCATCACTGCATGCTGGGCACTGATGCAAAAAAAGAAAAGAAAAGAAAGATCCTAGATTAGGAATATCAATATCATTATATATTATTAAGAGTATCTAAACCTAATCTATCCTGCATGATTTTCTATTGGTTGGAGAAAACTTGTCCACAACTTTTTGAATTAGCGAATGATATAAAAAGTTGATCTTCAGATTTCTCGATGAAAATTTAGCACATTTCCTGCTCAATGACATTTTGTCAGAGGCCCCCCAAACGAGAAAAATTTTTTCTTGGTGGTTTAGCATGTATGCTTGCTCAACCATCCCACCTAAGGTAAGATGGTTATATCCCTCCCTCTTTATCAAAGGCTTAGGTTTTCAACACTTCTTAAGCCTTCTGTGGCCAAAAAAAAGCCCGAATGCTTGCTCCAGTCTGCCAGGTCTTTTATCTCAAAAACCTTGTCTCTCTGTAATCTTTAGCCTATCACTAAGACATTCTTTAGACTTACATCCTTGTTGCATGGATTTTAAGTGTCATAGAAAGGATGCTATGTTCCTGAGCTGTATGTTGTATCTTCACCAAGTTTTTTATGCTGTCCTTGCTTAAGTTTGTGGTTGTGGTGATTATTTCTGGAGCCAGCCTCTTGTCTTAGTTGTAAGAACTAAGAACATTGATATGCATTTAGATCATTAGGTGAGTGCTTAGACATTTTCACCAAGCCACCTCATAACTGCTTCTCATTTTTGTGGTGTGTTGGCAGATGTAAAGGATGTAAAATATGTGATTAATTATGACTTTCCGGGATCCCTTGAGGATTATGTTCACCGCATTGGCCGAACAGGAAGGGCTGGCGCAAAAGGAACAGCTTACACGTTCTTCACAGCTGCAAATGCCAGGTTTGCAAAGGAACTTATTACCATACTTGAGGAAGCTGGACAAAAGGTCAGCCATGAATTGGCAGCAATGGGACGTGGTGCACCGCCTCCACCCTCAGGTTAGTTTACTAGTGTTAATACTCTTGAAATATCCATGAAAGCACACCTATCCCCTACTGGGGGATTATTTTGAAATGAGACGCTGTTCTAATGTTGCTGGTGAAATGATGCCCTTAATTTTCCACCATTATTTTGTGATTGATGGTTTGTATCTCATATTTTGATGTATGTTTGCAGCAAAAGTTTTAGGAACCGATAGAATTGTCTGATTGGCAACTCTTTTATGTTTCCTATGTACTATTTTTGTGGATGCATGTTAACATAACTACCAAAACTCTAACTTGTTTGTTTGGATAAAATGGACCAGGTCATGGGAGCTACCGAGATCGGGGAAGGGGTTATAGCAGTGGCAGATCATGGAGCTAATAAATGGTTTTGGATTATGAAAATTGTGAAAACTGAATGGCAATATAAGGAAACTCATGTGATGGCAGCTTAGCACTTGAAGAAAGAGAAAACTTGTAGGAGTCGAGGGCAGAGTGATAGATATCTTCTGCAACATTCATTGTTTTCCTTGTATTCGATATCCTGTAACAACATATTGTAAGATAATTTGGCATTTCTTCTTCCTTGGAAAAAAAGAGGAGTTAGCATTAAAAAGGGCTCAATCGAAGAGAGAAGATAAAGAAGGCAAACAATATTCATTACCATCACAGAAATAAATAGGACTTAACTCAATGATACTTAATTAATCAAAGTGAAAAATGGGTGATATTCTAGCAAGTTCTATACTTTCTCCTTTCCTCAAATGAACCCAAAAGCTAAAATGGGGAGTTCCTTTTTAAGACACTGATTTTCCTAGAAGGGTGTTCGGATGGTTTTTATTTATTCATTTAATTTCTGGTGCTTAGTGCATTGAGTCTCTTAATTCTGCTAAAAAATGTTTGTACAGTTTGACGTTCTCAATGCTTTTTACAATTATACACTTGCGTGTTTGGTAAAGTTTAAGAGTTCATGCTGAGATTTTAGCAAATGAGTAAAAACTTATAATATAAGAAATATATAGACGTAGTTTTTTTCCTTTTGATAAAATGTATTATGGTAAAATAATATTTTAGGGTTGTTTAAAAAAGCTTGTTTATTTTCAGACTAACATTTTACGGAGTAACCCATAAAATTTGGGAATTATTTTTTTATCAAAATAAAATTCAAGCATATTTTATTGAAAAAACAGCTCTTTGTGTAAATTATGTTTTCACCTTGGGAGTTTTCTTCATTTAACTTCCCATATTCAGACATTCTTCAAATTATATCCAACGAGGCTAATCATGCAATCTTCTCTGATTTATCTTACAATCTAAAAATAACTATATGATTTACACTTTGAAAAAATTTTCTTTTAGACCATCTTTCACATTAAAAATTTTTACTAGTAGTAATTTTCTTTCGTTTCTTTATTTTTAATTTTTGCTTATCTGGATAAGAATTTTTTTTATAGCTTTTTAGAAACTAACTTTTTATTTCCTTCTTTTTTTTTTCTACTAATGTTTATCCAAGCACCGGGTCAGACATTAAACGTAAAATTTACTTCAAAAAATAAAATCAATAATAATCATAGTACTAAAAAAATGACAGAATAAGGATAAACTAGTTTGTTCTGCGGTGGCCAGGAACTATGAAAATCAAAATCAAAATCAAAATCAAAATCAAAATCTACCCAACAGTTTCAAAAGATTCCAAGTTAAAAGGGAATTTTGCTGTGGAGTTTGGGCAAGTAATAGTTTTTTTATACAGTGGCAGCGGGGAATTGGCCTTTCAAAAGTAGGCTTAGACAAAAATCTGAATTACAACAAACAATGAGCGAAGCTCCAAAGCTCTACACCAATAAACCCAAGAAGGGTAAAACCTCAAAACACTTCATTTCCATGATTTTTTTCTCTCTTACTTCCAAAGTTCAATAATTTGCTGTTTTTAAAGTACAAGGAAGTAGAAACATCATTTTCTTAGCCACCCACAAAAGTATTTCTTCGTTTTCTGAGTATATTTTGTGTATTTTTGGGGTCTTAGATTTCGGTTTCTTTAATGTTTTAGCGACAGTTCGATTGAAGCAATTTCAGGAACAGCACAAAGGAAAGGATTTCACCCCCCCATCATCATCAACACCATCATCCTCATCATCTGCATCGGCTGCTGCGGCGTCGTACGCAATGGGATCGCAGTCTGCTCCTCCGCCACCACCTCAGCCCCCGAAAGAGTCCTTTGCTCGCCGTTACAAGTTTCTCTGGCCTCTTCTCTTGACTGTTAATCTTGCTGTTGGAGGTATTTGTTCCTTTCCTTCATCTACAGACTATGTGACTCTGAGTACATTTATCTGACAGCATGCGAGTGATATGATTTGGAGCTCGGTAGAATCTAGCTCGAGTTGTCTCTGTATGTTTCCTAAGTGTATTTCTTGAATATTGGGTATTCTCTCAATTGAATTGATTCAGGAATTTTTATTTATAATTTCGAGAAACGTTTTGAAGGTTCAAGGTGTTAGAGGTTAAGAATCTATTTATTGACCTGATTGATGATCGCTCTCATGTTTCGTGTTCTTTTCATGATTGATTATCGACTTTGTGAGGGCTGAATCTGTTCAACGGGCTTCCTCTTCAATTATAGGATAAGTGTCAGACTAGTTCTTTGGGTTAGAAAATTTACTAGGCATCAAGTTGCTGGTGCTTGCTTGACTAAATTGTGTGATCTCGATGATGGTTGCTTCTACTTGTCCATCGCGAAACTGAAAATTTCTGAACTGGCAAATGAGTGATGGGCATGATATGTTATAGGATGCCAATATGCCAAAATTGAAAATTGACTTATGTAGGTAGATAGATGTTCGATCTATCTTTTTCTTAAGATAACCATGAAGTGGGTGGGGTAGAATTCTTTTAGAAAGCTTGCAAGCGCTCAAAAATAAGCTAGTTAACCAACTGAAAGACAATATCTTCTTCAAACTTGAATAATTCAAGTTTTAGATATTTTTATTGATTTCTTCGATTCTTGTTGAATTAAGCGATATCATGAAAGGTTGTTGATTCAAGTTTTAATAATTTTTATTGATTTCTTCAATTCTTATTAGATTAAATAATATCAAAAAAGTATATTTTTAAGTAAACAGTTTAAAATTCATAGAGCTTATAAGCTCTAGCTCTTCTTTATTACGGTACGCTATGATCCGTCTTAATATGATGGTGAGTGAATTTTTCAACTTGGTCATAGACCGGAGTTCGAGTCAAAGAAGGGAAAAAAAGCAGCAAAAAAGTTGTATCAAGTGATTAATTCTAAAACTCTCACTTATATAGTAGACTGGTTTTCTTCCTTATTCTTGTTAACTAATGGTGTTGTTTGGAATATGATTGTCTAAGTAGCATGAATTGATAGTTAGATATTGAGACAACAGTTTTGCGACATGACAAAAAAAGCTAAGTTTAAGTAATATCTTATATCTTCTATGCTTCAGAACTTTGTGTCTGATATAGCATTTTTCCTATATCTTTCTTTAAAAGTAAAAAAGAGGAGTTTTGTTCACATGGGGCTAAGGGGATGCCACTCATATATTGAAAATTATTTATAATAAGGTATTGAAGAAAGCTTCTATAAGGTCTTTTGTAATCCTCCAATTTGGAGGGATGGTGAGTCGTGAGCAAATAATAAGGCTTGAAAACTGTAAATTTTCTATATGGGTGGAGCCCCTTTGGTACTTTTGTGAATTATATTTTTCATACTTCCATTTAAAAAAAAATTAAGGGCTTGAAAACAAAGGTATATACTTCTGTGGAAGTGATAAAGGCGTCTTAAAAACCTTATGTTCTTCCCACTCCAAACAATCCAGGAGATAGATAAAAGCAAATATCCCATTCTAAGCCAAAATTCAGCACAATGAATTCCCAAACCGTGAGGCCAATAGTGGTTTTGACAGAGAGCGTGTTATGCATGGATTTATTAGGCTTAAATAGGATGTTGACGTCCAATTAAATATGAAATTTTAATTAGTATTGGATTCTTAAATAGTAAAAATGGAATTCTAATCAATATTAGATTCATAAATAATATATGATTTCCTATTAATATTGGATTTTTAATAATATAGGATTTCTAATATTTTAGTAAAGTATTCCTAATTAGATTTAAATTCCTAATTAAATTAATATTTCTAAATAAGAATTGTAATCTCTATAAAGGTATGCTTGCAATTAATAAAGATAAGATAAACTATTATTTTAAATTACGAGATTGAAGTTTTCTCTAACGAGATCCAAGGTAGTAGTTTTATTTAATGAACTGTAATTTATTTTCACAAAATAGATCGCTCTTGCAAAAAGAATAAAGATGTTAACCATTTGTTAGAAAATGACTTTGTTGTTAATTGGTCGGTGACTCGATTCTTAATCAGGGATCATAACAATTTGGTATCAAAACTAGACACCATGGATGAAGAAGGATTGCGTGAGGAATTGAAAAATCTGGTAGCTGAATCAGAGTTCTGAATGGATGCTAAGTTGCAGCAACTATCTCAATAGATGGAGATTCTTCTTCATATAGCCACTCAGTTACACGATAAAGATTTAGAGGGCGGAACAGAAGCCGACAATAGCCACACAATCCAATCCAGTCACGTTGACAACCGACCGAAATCGCGCACTACAAACACAAAGTTGGGAAACAAAGGAATTATCCCACGCTACACCGAATCGGATTTCTCCACCTGTGATAGTACGGAAGATCTTTTGATTTGCTTCCATCGATACGAACAATTCTTTACTAATCAATGGACTGTTGTCTCCGACAAGATTAGTCTAACAACTTTTCACATGTTAGGAAAAACTCAACTTTGGTACTATAAGGTACAACAGGAAGAGCCGGACAAGGCATGAGAAACATTCGTGGAGTATTGCACCATATGGTTTGGACCGCCTCTGCAGAGAAACCCATTGGGCAAATTAGTCAACCTTAACCAAACAGGTTTGGTTGAGGAGTATCAACGGTAGTTTCAAAGGCTATTGACCCGAGCTTGTATGGTACGCCGTGATCAACAAGTCAATTTGTTGATAGCAGGACATATTGATTCTCTCTGTTTAGAGATCGAGATGTAATCGCCCACCACTCTTATGCACGTAATGAGCATGAACAGAGGTTTTGAAAGAAAATAACAGTTGTGAGATATGAATGAACTCAATTATAGTGACATTTCTCAGTCCGTGACCAAATCTAATAATTTAGTTCGGAAAACATTGGCTCTATAGGGGAACAATGTCACGACACAATCTGTTAATATTTTCTCTCTATCTATAAAAAAACTAATAAGTACAGAGATGACCTAAAATAAGAAGACTGAATGGGTTGTGTTATAAATGTGATGAGCCATTTGTTTCAGGTGGCCAATGTAAACAGTTGTTTTAAGTCAAGATTGAACGCAACATTAATCTTGAGCAACAAGAAAAGACCAATAAATCACCTATATCCACATTTCTAGTTTGAGAACAAACTTGAGGAGTAGCAAAAGTAATTTTATAGATAAATTTATAAGGGCTAAATAGGATGTCAAAGTTCAATTAAATATGAAATTCTAATTAGTATTAAATTCTTAAATAGTAAATATGGAATCCTAATCAATATTAGATTCGTAAATAATATATGATTTCCCTTTAATATTGGATTCCTGAATAATATAGGATTTCTAATATTTTAATAGGGTATTTTTAATTAGATTTAGATTTAGATTCTTAATTAAATTAAGATTTTGGAATAAGAATTATAATCTCTATATAAATGGGTATATTTACTATCAATAAAAATAAATCAAAATATTATTTTAAATTACGAGATTAAAGCTCTCTCTAACGAGATCCAAGTTTAGCAATTTCATTTGATGAGTTGTAATATATTTTCACAAAATAGATCACTATCGCAATAAGAATAAGAGTGTTAACCATTTGTTAGAAAATGACTCTGTTGTTAATCACTCGGTGACTCGATCCTTAACTAGGGAACATAATAGAGCATGTGCCATGGGCACATAAAAGTTGGCTTTGGGACTCTTCAGCATCCTTATAAAGATAAAAACCATTCACAGAGAGTCTCCCTCCTTTTCTAAATTCTATAGAGGAAAAAATTTTCCCAATTAAATTCCTGAGCAGAGAAGGCAACTCAGAAGTGGCTTTCCCCTTCTAAATCTGCTTCCAAGGGAACGTAGCTTCTTCTTGGTCAGTCATACTGTCCATACTTCAGTAGTCTTCTGGTAGCATGTTTATTTTTGTCAGAGACACATCTTTTACTGCACGTGAACGTTATAAGATTTGCTCTAAGTTGCATTGTACCCATAGCTTGTAAACATTATAAGATTTGCTGTTAATGAAAGTGGAATGTGCTGGTTATCCCTAATGAATTCCCAACTATATGTTGTAAAGTAGTTTTAATTCTTAATGGCATAGATAATCCAAACTAAATATCTCTCCCGTTTGTGATTACTTGCATCCCATAGATAAGGACAATACAAGTTGTGTATAAGTGGTACAAGTGTTGGCAAAATTTTAAGGAAAACCTAGCATCTGCCTATTTTTTTATTGAAGTGGATGTTACTCTAGTGTGGTTCTTGCCTCTAGCATTATTCTACTCTTCTGGTGCTTATTCTCAAGAATAAAAATGCTTCAAATCTAAAGTACTTTGGACCTATTAGTCTGATTTGATGTGTTTACAAGGTGATTGCCTAGATCCTTGCTAGAATACTAGGGAGGATGGTGGAGAGGTGGAGGGGGAGACACATGATGCCTTTGTGGAATGCCTACATATTCTAGATGCTTCTCTAGAAGCTAAAAGAGGTTGTTGATTATATGATCAGGAAAGGAACTAAAGTTTTAATATGTAAATTGGACAGGAAGAAGGCGTAAGACCATGTTTCATGGGCGTTCCTACTTTACTTATGAAGAGAACATGTTTTGGTGAGCAATGGTGCTCCCGGACTAAAACTTGCATCTCTTTTGCACCGTTTGCAGTCTTAGTTAATTGAGTGTTCAATACGAATTCTTTAAAGCTTTCAAGAGCTTTATGTGTGTTGAGTAGCATATTTTATTATTTTAGTTTATTATTTAATTAGTTAAGATGGTGTTATTAGAATTCTAATAGAATAGTAATTTTATGTAATTGAAATTCTACTAAAATAATTATTTCCTAATTAATAGGATAAAGATTTTATAAACACCCTAGATGTAATAACTTAAAGGGTGAGAAATAAAATTATTTAATTTTTCTCCTAAAATCAACATGATATCATAACTAAATAAAATTATTTTAGGGTTTTAATTTCAGGGTCTCTTTCAAACCTTAAAAACAGCACAATAGGCTGGGTTAGTACCTATTTATCCAATCTACCTTTATCACCACTCTAAATAATGTCAGAGCCTCATCACAAATCATATCAGAGAGAGAGGAAAATACAGCTGGCAGTGAATCAGACCAAATCGGGCATGAGTGGCGACCAGCCTGGTGCGACCGTGTGAACCTGGAGAAGACGAATCACGTACGGGTCGACCTTCTCTGTCTATGCGTGGACCTACTATGATAGAAGCGGAGTGGCAGTGGGTGATCGGAGAAGCAGATCTGCGTAGCAGAGAAGCAGGCTGGATCTGTATCTACTTGAAAAGAGCTGCTGGTGCTCGGCACTATGGCTGGGAGAGAAGGAACGCCGGGTCTGCGCACTAAACCAAAGCCGAAGAGAAAGAATGTGCGTCGGAGAAGATGAATCAGCGCAGCGGCAACCAAATTGCGAGAAGCTTGATTAGGGGCGATTCTGCGCGGTTTTCGGCCCGATCTCACCAGATCCGTGCTGGATTTGGAACTGCCGACGTTTTCTGTAGCGTTTCGGCGATTTCTGGCCGCAGCGCGTGGCAATTCTGACGGAGGCTCGTGGGCGGTGCATGGCGGTCCGGTTGATGCGCGTGAGACTCTGGTGGTTGCGCAGGGTGATGTTTTCGATGGTGGCGCGTTGTAGTTTCGACGATGGTGCGTGGTGGCACATGATTGTCTGATGATTGGTTGTTCGTCGGCCCGTGGCGGTATGTCAGAGCTCATGAGATACTCTGGTGGAGCCCGAACTGTTTTAGAGCCAAGTCCTAGCCGTTTAGAGATGAGTCGAGCCGTTTAGAGACAAGTCGAGCCATTTAGAGCCAGACCGAGTTGTTTAAGCCGGACCGAGCTGTTTAGAGCCGAGTCGAGCTCTTTTGAGTTCGGGTTGAGCCGTTTTGTGTCGAGTCGAACTAAGTTTTTGCCTGACAGATTTGGTTTCAGTTTACAACTTGGTCTGCAAATTGAGCATGTGTGATATTTCTACACCAATTTAAGGAAGGTGTTAAGTAGTATATTTTATTATTTAATTATTTTAATTTATTATTTAATTAGTTAAGATGATGTAATTAGAATTCTATTAAAATAATAATCTCATATAATTAAAATTTTATTAAAATAGTTATTTCATAATTAGTAGGTTAAAAATTATATAAATATCTCAGGTGTCATAACCTAAAGAGTGAGAAATAAAATTATTTAATTTTTTTCCTAAAATCAATAATGTGAGGAGTCCTCACTCCTCTTTGGCACTCTTCTTTTTTCTTTTTGAAAGTAAAACTGTGAAAATATATGAAAGAATCAATGATACCAAGGGGTTACCGCCCACGTACATGATTTTTTGCTACTTATTATTGTTATGGACTGACTCAACAAGCTGATCATCAAAGCTAAGGAGCTAAGTCTATTCCAAGGGATTTGCATGGGCGAAGAAGAGAGCAGAGTGAAGGTACCACATCTATTTTCCACCGATGATTCTCTTTTGTTTTAGAAGCCTGATAAGCACACTCTATTTTCTATTAGGTCTATTCTTCTTTGCTTTTAAGCGGTGTCAGTATTGAAGTTAAATTTAGCCAAGGCAAAATTGGCAACCATAGGGGAAGATCTTAAATTTAAATATTTTGCCAGAATTCTGGGGTCCAATATGGTGTCTTGGTATTCCACTAGTGGCTAAATATAAAGATAAAACCATTTGGGATCCGCTGGTGACTACTAGGGTTGAAAGAAGACTCGCAAAGTAGAAAAAGACTTTCTTAAGTAAGGTGGAAAAATTATATTCAGGAAGCAAACTCTGTAATTTGTCCATCTATTATCAATCTTTGTTCAACATTTATCTTGGTGGCTAAAATGGTTGAGAATCTCCGACATTGATTATTGTGGCATTGATTCGTTTCGAATAATTTTTCTCTCATTATCTCCTCCAATGCTGATTATAAAATCTGTATACCAGTTTTATCTTTATTTAGTGCAAGACCTACACCTAACCTTTCAACTTCTTCTCATGATCCTTTAGGCATTAAACAGTAAATGAGATAAAATTCATGAATTGTACCTGAATTCATGCAAATTCATGGACTTAAATTGATGGGAAATTATCTAACTTTTTTACTTATACTAAAAAGCATCAGTATATATACAAGCAAGATGATGAGTTTTGTATGTGAATGCAAACTCAGATGCACGCGAGCCAATCACATCAACGGATTTTTCTTGATGCCACAACTTTGGGCAACAAACGGGCAAATAAAAGGAGGGTCCAAGATTTTTGTGGTTTGAAAATAGTATATTTTCTTTAATTTCATCTTAAATAGTTGGTCCAATGATTAATTATCCTAAAAATTTAAACTGATAAGAGAATATTCAACTTTATCATTCATGCTCCAACATTTTCAAGAATTGGTTTATGTTTTCATAAATATATAGTTAGGCAATATCATACCAAATGCTATACAATAATTATTCCTCAGTTCATGAGAACATGAAATGATAATCAATGGTAAAAGCTTTCATTTGTCTTTCTCTTATCAACCAACTTGGTTGATTACTCGCTCTTGTCTGGTAATAGTAGTTGGGTGATAAGGTAAAACCATAGTAATCATTGGTTAATTGATAAAACAACAGGGGACAACTGGGACTGCTCAAATTTAGAACGTTAATTCTGATTTCCTTTAGATACAGTAAGAAGAGTAGTTATGGTAAAGCATCTTTCTCGTTGTGATGCTTTTGTTGATACAAATATCTATCTTTTCCACATTATCTGATGATACTTATCATAGTGATAAGTCATCACTTCCTGCGATGCCTTAACGACAATGTATAAGAATTCTGAAATTTTATTGTGGTTGTAAAATAAAATACCCGTCTAGCTTTTATTTTGTCGGGTTCTTGTATTATTTTAAGTAGAGAGTAAGCATCTGCTGATGAAGCACTTCTATGTTAGCTATTGTGTGACTTACAGACACATGTTGATTTCTATATTTTATTGTTCTCCAAAAATTTTTATTTGTAACTTAATTATTACTAATTAAAAGCTATTGTTTAACTTTGCATCTAGGTGTCTTAACATTTTATTACTACATCTCGTCTGGCAGAAATGCATTTTATTTTGTGGTCCACGCATTTTAAACTTTTACATCTTTCATTCACCTGTCTTTCTCATGTGCTCTGTTTCTTAAATTTCTTCTTTTTCTGTGGTTAAAATTAAGAATGGCTTATATATTAAAAAAGGTTGAATGGGTTTCTCTTGGAGGTTTTGAAGTGTTTTACATGGTTGCTGGAGCTGATTATCTTCTGATTGGCAATTCTTTCTTTTGAAAAGATAATATTTCTAAAAAAAATCTAAAAAACATTCTTTTGTTGTGACTTTGTACCCTAATTGTCCATGAGAACCCATTAAGTGTTCTCAATATTTATCTGGTCTTGTTCAGTATTATCTTCCAGTTTTTTTGTTGTTTTTGTTACTGGAGTGGTTGAGATTGTTACTGGCAATGATTCTCTCCGTGTAAATGTACTGATGATGATGATGTAACTGAGAAACAAATGTTTATGTGCATTTAAATTGAATGAACATAAATTTTATGTTTCCTTGAATATCATTTTTAGACACTGCAGTAGGTAGCTTTACGGATTGGTTCGCGACTTCAATGCTAATGGTTGGCCTCTGTAATAAGATAAAAATTGTAGTCAATACTTACGAGAAAATAACAAGATTATCTTAAAGGTGTACTTTTAGAATGTTCAGAACTTCATTCTGATTGCTTTTAGATGCAGTAAAATGCTGTTAAGTTACTTTTCCACTTATGCCATCTTTGACAACATTTTGTTTATCTTTTCAGCATCATGCTACGGTAGTTACTGATAGTGGTCATCATCATCGATAATAATGCTTTTATAAAAATAAATCTTTTTTGTCAACATTTCAAAGCATTCATCTCGTCTGAAAGAAACATATTCTGCACCGTGGTCCAACATCTAGCTTTTACTTGTAGAGTGGTCTTCGTAATTATCTTTTGGATAGAATAGAGTCAGCAGTTGCTAAAGGGGCATTTTTATGAGTCGTATTATGGTTGATAAACACATTTGATTGGTGAGTAATTATTATTGCTGGCAAGGGTGCCTTTTTCACATTCTACCTTGGTCTGCTAACATTTCATTGTTTATCTTGTCTGGCAGAACCACGTTTTGTTTTGTGGTCCACCCCTGGGACTTTTGATACCCTTTTCCCTTGTCATGCACCGGATGCTTTTCTTAGTTTCTGTTTTTCTATTGTTAAAAAAGTAATGAGTGGGTTTATCTTCAAGGTTTTGAATTGTTTTGCTTAATAGTCTCCAGGAGCCACTATTTGCTGATTCGCTGATTTTGTAATGTCTATAGCTTACCTATTCATGAGAACTAGAAAAAATGATGGAAGCACAGTAGAGGAAGATAGTGTTCCTGCAGCCACGACTTCAACTGATATAAGCAATCCAGTCACTGAGAAGCCTTCGCCACCATCATCAAGTTTAAAGCCTGTGAAGTTGCACAAACCTATTCCAGAGAACCAACAACGAGAACTTTTCAAGTGGATGTTGGAAGAGAAAAGGAAGGTGAAACCAAAAAACTCTGAAGAGAAGAAGCGCATTGATGAAGAGAAAGCCATTCTCAAACAATTCATTCGAGCCGAAGTCATCCCTACTTTCTAGTTGAAAAGACTTTGGACTAAACTGGCACTACCTGAAATGAATTTGCTTAGTTGTGCTGATGTTTGGACTTATCTGTTGCTGATACTGGATTTAACTTATGTGAATAGGCCTGGCTTTTCAATGAAATTTCATAAGATGATGCCACATTTATTTGTTTGCAGTTTATTGCTTAAGATCATCCTTTTGCCAGTTTAACCTCTCATACCAATCTTTGATCAAAGTTCTTCCTAAAAGAAACCACTACAAAAGATTGTCCGCGCACAATAATTATTCATTTATGTACTTTTAGTAGAATATTTTGTTCAACCGAGTTTGTTATCACAATTTTAATAGCATTGAGAGTCATAATATATTCACTGTATTAGAGATAAATTTCATTATTAATCTATTAACGAGTTAAATTTTTGATTTACTGAATCAAGTATTATAGATTATCAGTAGTTATTCACTAATAGTTTAAATTATATAAATTGAAAAACGAAACATATTCTCCAAATTTATGAAAGCATTGCGCAATTTCCAAAAGGGATGTGGACACCCTCAATATGCATATTTAGAGTTCCTCCAACATGCAAGGTTCCAAAATCAAACCTACTACAACTACCAAATAGCTTAATATTCCAATCTCCAATCTTATATTTTTGCCTCTAAAGAAACATTATCAAAAATATTCTCTTAGATTCTTCAAGATATAACAAATGAACTCATAATTAAATATAGCACGAACAGCCCATGCAATGATGATATTTGATTAAACTAATAATTCAACAAAAAAATGAGCTATGTGCATATGCATATGCATATATGTATATATACATACCTACTCATGAGTTAGGCAGTTTGAGAGATTAAGGAGAATAAATAAAAGCTTGAGGAATAGTCAAAGACTGAGAATTTTTGAAGCCTAAAAAAGATTGGCTTTACATTAATTTCTTCTCTCTAAAAAGTCATCTTCGACCAATACGTATATCCCCCCATCTCAAAACCAGCTCCATGGTTACACACCATTAAATCAAAAGGCAATTATTAACATCCATTACCCCCAAATTAAAAATAAGATGATTTCTTTTTTTTTTTCTTTTTTCTTTATTGATTTCTTGTTAAAAGTGAAGATGCACCATGCAACACGTGGCTTCTTCATATTATACATATATATACATATATAAGAAATTAAGGATGGGAGTGGAAAGTAAAGATGAGAGGAAATTGTTTATGTAGAGTGTAGTTTGGTGTTTTGTTTTTTTAGGTTATGGGTGAGAATATGGAGAGATTTATGAAGTCTCACATGAAAGCACGAGGCCACAAGACAATCATACATTTTGTGGGGACTTCTCTCTATATTTTATACTATACCTCTTCAACTCTTATATATATATATATAACAATTATATTGGGACATATCATACATACTGCGAAATTTGAGCGACTAATGCTATATGAACCATTCACGTATAGATACACATGTAATTATGGGACTGCATATATCTAATTTACATGTGGGTATCTTATGGACGGCTGCAATGTATTACGTATCATGATTACCCTAATTAATGCTCCCATTCTTCACTATCATTAATTTCAAAAAAAAAAAAAAATAGCAGACTGATCATAAATGTGTTAACCAGCCTATCTACATTATCTCTTTCATACACACACACACGCACACACATATATACATATATATGAATATATATTCTTTTCTATAAAGCAGACGACCATAAATGTACTACGCAAACCTATGCATGTACGCGTACAATCTCATGTATACATTATATCGTGTATTTATGTGTATATATATCGAAAATAAAAGTATTTTTGAATCAGTTTTTTTTTTTTTTTTTTTTACACTTTAAAAATTAAATATATATGTTGAATGATCTTAAATTAATTATTTTAAAAGTTTAAATTAATAATAATTGGTACAGTGAATTTTTATATAATTTCGAATGTACTAATTATGATTTGAAATAATTTAGAAGTTTTAGTTTGTGGTTTTTCAAAAGAAAATTGAAAACATAATTTATAATATAAGATTTGAACGCATTCAAATAATGGTAAGTTTATGGTGCAATTAGAATATTACATGAGTAAATGTTGTATCAAGATCTTCTTCTCAATTTTAGACATAAAGTTTGATCTGTTCGTATAATTCCACAAGTTAAGCATATGATGTGGAAACTTTATAATGACATACTCTATATTCAAACAAAATTGAGAATCAGAAATATAAAATTTGACTCGTATTGTTCTATGTGTGGCTAACGTGAAGAAGATAAGAAAATATGTTTCATAATTATTAAAAGGTGTACGGAAGCTTAGTCATCTACGGATTGATGTATGTAGTATCTTTTTATTTATTAAGTAGCTTGTTAGTGACCTTAATTAAGCCGATATAACTGCAAAAAATTGATCATGAAAATTCTACAAGGTTTGTAAGAGTATAAAAATAAATGAGTTTTGAGTCTTATTAGTATGAGCCTATTAATCTGATCTTAAAATTACCAAAGGAAAAGCTTAGAATGAGAGAGATAGCAAATAATTTGCATAAGTTATAGACATACATCTAGTTGTTACAAAACATATTGTTAAGTCACTTGTATGATAATATGAATTTGAATTCAAATACATATTTCATCACGATAAAAGGACAAGTTTAAGAGTTATTGCACTAGATTGGGATGGTAAAGTTCTTGCATGTGGTGTGCACGTGATTTAGACGCTCAATAATATGGAAGTGGGTAAGATTGTATTTTTAAAATATGATCTGCATATGGCTTGAGAATGAGATTTTAGTAGAATTATAGATAAAGATGGTGTAAAAATGGCTTTTACTTTATGTTAGTTACAAGATTGCAGATAAATGAAGTTGGGATTGTTGCAAGTGACGTTAAACATTTATATGACTTAAGATGCATATGCCCTTGCTAAAGAGGTAAAGATCTAATCCGATCTAGTTTTTTTATTCGAAATTATTTGATTTTTTTAGTTTTTTTTTTTATAATAGAATAATTATATTTCTTAATTATTTATTTTAAAATATTAATATTTATTTTCTTAAAAAATAAAAAAAAAATTAATTTACTGTTAATTAATTATAAATGCTGAAAATATATAAAATAAAAAATTGAAGCAATTAATTGAGGAAATTAAGGAGATTATAGTAATTAGCGAAGTAAGTGACTCCCACAGCTTTGATATGGACAGTTCTTCTGCTTTTGTATAGACATAACATTATATAATATATTAGCAATTACATGTGCTTCTCTTGATTTCCCCCTTTCTTTCCCTGGTAGGCGCTTCCGTGCATATCATATTCTCATCACAAAAAAGAAGCTTTCCAACATAACTATATACTATGTACTATATACATACATAACACACACACATACACATACAAGAGAAGCGGAAGCTGAGGAGAGACAGTATATGTCTACTACGATGGAGAGTCATGTATTGGTGATTATATGTATGGCACCAATAGTCTTGTCCATCATCTACAAGTGCATGAGATTACTATCATCATCATCACCAAGCCATGGAGCCGCCCTTCCCTCGGGCAACCTCGGGTGGCCTCTCGTCGGCGAAACCATCGACTTCATTTCTTCTGCTTGCTCCGACCGCCCGGAGACCTTCGTGGATAAGCGCCGCCGCATGTAACCATATCATCATCAACATACTCATCTATAGTGTCTATATATATATATATATATGTATTTAAATGAAGAAAGGTGGGTAGTTTGATCAATTATAACTATAAATTGCAGGTACGGGAAAGTGTTCAAGTCACACATATTTGGAGCTCCGATGATCGTGTCAACAGATGCAGAAGTGAGTCGGGTAGTTCTTCAGAGTGATTCAAAGGCTTTTATACCGTCTTACCCCAAATCACTCACCGAGTTGATGGGTAAATCTTCCATTCTTCTCATCAATGGCAGCTTGCAGAGGAGAATCCATGGCCTCGTTGGAGCTTTCTTCAAATCTCCTCATCTCAAGCTCAAATCACCAAACAAATGTACACATATCTCCATCAATCAATGCAAACTTGGACACCAGACAAGCCCATTTACATTCAAGATGAGACCAAAAATGTTAGTCATCCCAAATTCATTTTTCTTCTAATAATTTCATTCATATATGGTTGAGATTTTCGATTTACACACACACACACACACACACACACACACACACACACACACACATATAGAGAGAGAGGTAGACGAAAAACAAAACAAAAGAGATGCCTACTCTGTTAAACTTATCTTCTTCTTCTTCTTCTTCTTCTTCTTCTTCTTCGTCTTCTTCTTCTTCGTCTTCTTCTATTGACTTCAACAGGTACATACACCTCTCTCTCCCACGGAATAGTGAAAAGGAATTAAAACCAATAATGTAAAGTTTGAACTTTTAATATTCTCTGGCTGCTATTTAAGTTATAATATGATTTGGGTGGAAAGCGGAAAGAAACCCAGTTGAGAATGGGGTTCACAATCATTGTTTGTGAATCATATTGTTTTAAGTGATTTGAAAAGTGAATAAGAAAATTGATCCTTTTTCTGTCTGCAGCTTGCCTTTCAAGTGCTAGTCAAAGCATTGATTAGTCTGGAACCAGGTGAGGAGATGGAACTTTTGAAGAAAAACTTCCAACAGTTCATCTCAGGCCTCATGTCCTTGCCTATTAACATACCTGGAACTCAACTTTATCGTTCCCTCCAGGCAAGTTTTAATCAAGTTAATTTCCTTTTTTCTCACTTTATATATATATATATATATAATGCTGAAGAAAGAGACAATTAATTTTTTAATAAATTTCAGGCGAAGAAGAAGATGGTTAAGTTGGTAAAAGTTATTATCCAAAGTAAAAGGGGTAATAGTAATGTTGGAGGCGGCGTGGCAATTAAAGATGTAGTAGATGTTTTGATGAATGAAGAATTCTCAGATGATCTAATTGCAGATAATATGATTGATATGATGATTCCAGGAGAGGATTCAGTCCCCGTTCTCATCACTCTTGCCATTAAATACCTCTCTGATTCTCCCGCCGCCTTACAACATTTAACAGTACGTAATCTACACATTCACCTCTCTCTAAATTTTAATTATCAGCCATTAATTCCTTGATTATCCTTAATTATTTGACAGGAGGAAAATATGAAGATGAAAAGACTGAAAGCTGAGCTTGGGCAGGAAATGAATTGGAACGATTACTTATCCTTACCTTTTACACAAAAGGTAATCTACTTAAATATATATTGTTTTATAAAACCCAATGCTCATCAACTTATATATATATATACAAATGAAGCAGGTGATTACAGAAACACTAAGGATGGGGAACATTATAATTGGAGTGATGAGAAAGGCCATGAAAGACATTGAGATAAAAGGCTACTTAATACCCAAAGGATGGTGCTTTTTCGCCTATTTTAGATCGGTTCATCTCGATGACACTCACTACGATTGCCCTTATAACTTCAATCCATGGAGGTGGCAAGTAAGAACAACAACACTGTATATATATATATATATATATATATAAATATACATGTAAATTTACACATGTATTGATCGTGAATGAATTTTGCAGGAGAAAGACACAAGCAGTTGTAATTTTACTCCTTTTGGAGGTGGGCAGAGGTTATGTCCAGGTCTTGACTTGGCCAGGCTGGAGGCTTCCGTCTTCCTACATAATTTTGTCACTAGATTCAGGTAATTAATTACCTTCTCTTTCTCTTAATTATTTTGCTAATCAATCACCTAAAAATGATTAAAACAAAACATCAGCTTACTAATCAAATCTCATCATTGATTCAGTTAATCAAATATTAACATCTCAATAATAGAGGTGATTAAGAGATAATTTTGTATGACAGATATATGCTGATGTGATATTTCTCCTATTACTCCAAAAAGAGAAATTCAAGATTTATTAATAATATTTTTCCTGTTTTTACTAAATATCATTATTATTTGGTTTTGGTTTAACCAATGAGCAAAGACAATATGATATAACAAAACACACCAAACTTTCTGCCATTTTGAGCTGATTAATTAATTTTAAACATTTCTCAGTCTCTTTTGTTGTTTATCATATGGTTGTAACCATTCAAAAGTAGATTCCACTCTTGTTTTTTTTTTTTTAATAATTTTCCTAATTCTTATTATAATTATTTTGGATTTTCCCAAGCATCTCAGGTCCCCAAAAGCATGTGAATTTCAAGTTACCAAATGAGCCAAAGTAAATACAAAACATTAACCATTCTGGGTTTTGTTTAAATTCAATTATGCTTTCTTTAATTATTTGTGGGTCACTTAATTATGATAATCCTCAGAAGAAAATTAAAAAAAAAACAACAAAAAAGTTGGTGGGTCAGTTGCAATAGTTGGAACTTGGAATGTTTGATTAATGAAATTAAGTTATGAGAGTTGCCGACAACGGCTAATGGTGTAGCAGGCTGTTTGGTCAAAACAAATCCTAACATTCTGGGTTTTAACATGAAAATCTTTAGGTATATTTTTGTTTAATTAGGTTTATAACCTCCATTAATTGGGAGTCACATGTAAATTATTAGCTGGGTCTAAACTCCAATAATCAATCTAAAAGGACTAGAAATTTGAACTGTATTTATAATATCTTAAACAGCTGGGTCTACTAGCCTAAATTTTGACTGCTTTTTTAGAATTAAACATACGAAAACTGTGAAAAGACAAGTAGAAAAATGATTGATTAATTAATTAATTATATAATATAAATGCAGGTGGGTGGCTGAGGATGATACGATCGTCAACTTCCCCACGGTCAGAATGAGGAGGAGATTGCCTATTTGGGTCAAAAGGAGAGAAGATTAAAAACAAAACGACAGCACCCATCAAGTTTCTTCTTCACATAAAGAAAAAAAAGAGAAAAAGGTTTACTTGCTCGCACGCTGCACACGTGTGGGGGGTTGTCACCATTTGTCCTCCTCCTCCATGGATATTACAAGTTTAGACAGTACAAATATATATATCTTTTTTTTTTTTTGAAAAAAAAAGAAAATATATATATATATACATATATATTTCCATTAGGGACCCTTACCCCTTTGTTATATACGCTATCACACACCAATTACAATTTTAAAAATTAACTATATAATATATAAATTATAGTTAATTAAAAATTAATTTCTGTTTTTTATGTTTAAAAATTTTAAATAAATAATTTACTGTAACAAAACTAACCTCGATGTCAGACATTTACACACCATTTCCAACTAGTAGAAACAATAAATATTACATATGCAATAGAAATAAACATTAATATAAATTTTTTGTAACATGATAATTATTTATTCACAAATATATAAGGTATTACCATTAATTACAAATTAAAAATAAAAATTAATAAGATTTTCTCTTATTGATCCTGAAACCTGTGGGTAATAAACCCACCGGAGAAAATATCTCATTTGCCATCTCCTATTAATCTTGAACTTATTTATTATCTTCTCTACCCATCGGCGGTTGTTCCAGATTCACCTGCTCTAATAATATCATTATAATGAGTTTCACCAACTCAGTAAATATTCTCGTTATTCTATACCTAAATAAGACATCATACAAATATACGCATACATGTAATAAATATAATATTTAAAATTACAATTACACAATGCTTTTAATTTCACAAATTTTATATTTAAATAATTTACTTATTCTTAACAGTTAATTTTTATCCCGAAATTTCACTCATTTTGCTCGAATATCACAATTACACTCGAATCATTTCTACACTTGAATATCACAATACACTCGAAATATTACAAATATACTTAATATATCACATATACACTCGGAATAATACATTTAGGGTTTCATTGCATGATGTCGTTTATATCATCATCGAGGAGATGTAAAAATATCTTCCCATCATATGGATACATGCACATAATCTGACATTGGCCACAACATATATATTTGCTAGGTAACCCTTACATTCACATATGCCTATCCATATG